TTTCTTATATTTTGGAGTCTTACTTTGTCTTTTCTTTCTTTCTATCCTATTTAAAAAAATAAAAAAAAAAAACTACACTAGATAGTCACTAGAATAAATATTTCATAATAATGGTGTGGTGTGGAGAGGATGGCTGTAAGGGGAGAAGGGAGGCCATCTAAAAAAAAGAAAAAAGGAAAAAAAAAAAAAGACACTTTGGTTTACTTTGTGTTAAATAAAAACTTTCAAAGGTGAAATCATTCCTCTCTTATTTTGATTAATGACATTTAACTCTGCAGGTCATCCCTGAAATTCTGACACAGAATCACAAGTCCAAGTGTGAACTGTGTCACAGAGTAAACACAATAAAAACATGAATTATCTGCAGCATTGTTCATTAAAATGACACAACACTGTTAATGTTTCACAGAAAATATATGGTAGGCACTTAATGATATTGTAGACCACTGCATTAGGTAATACATTCAGCAAGTACTTTTACTTTTAATACTTTAAGTATTTTTAAAAGCAAGTACTTTTACTTAAGTAAAAATGTTAATGTGATACTTCTACTTTTACTAGAGTACATTTTTGTCTGTTTATTAGTACTTTTACTTAAGTACAGTATTTGAGTACTTTCTCCACCACTGCCCTCCACATATATTCTGCAAAAATAACACTTCAAAAAGAAGTGGAATGTTTTCTTGTCCTAACTTGTTGTGTTGGTTGTTAGTATTTGAATGGAAGTGAATTTTATTTGAATCAGTCTTTTTGTAGGGGGTGCTCGATCAATATAATTCCAAAATCAAAAACCACGCTCCTCTATAGTAACCAAACCTGATTTTCAGGAATATGTATGTATGTATGTTTTATTTATTCATTTCATTTCATCCAAACAACAAATATAATACAATTTAAAGAAAAGAAAAAAGATATACAATCACAGAAATAAAATGAAAGGCAGCAGAAGAAGAATGAATTCTTATAATATCTGCCCCTTGTCCCTAAAATATATTCCAAACAAAATTACTATACAAAAGCAAGATGAATTTATAAAAAAATAAAAAAGTAAAAAATAATTAAAAAAAACTTAGCTAAAATATAAGATCAACTATAAACAATTTTTATGAACTCACATTATACTTAATATTTTTTTTTTTAAAACAAATTTTTATCATCCTCTTGAATATGTACATAGTTTTGGCTTTTTTAATATCAACCTCCAGATCATTCCACAATCTAATACCCTGAGATCTAGTGGATCACATCTTCAGACTGGTGCGACACCACGGCTTCACAAACATCTCCATCTCCCTTAAGATAATAATTACTTTATCTTTTAACAAATTTCCCTTGAATGTTAGTAGGTAGTATGTTTTTGTTGGCCCCATACATAAACAGTAAGATATTGTTATCAACCAAGTCATAAAATTTTAATATCTTTAGCTGAAGAAACAATATATTTGACGGATGGTTATAATCTTTTCTGGTAATAATTCTTATGGCTCTTTTCTGTAAAATAAAAATTTGATTTGTAATTGTTTTACATGCTTTACCCCAGACTTCAATACAGTAAATTAAATGTGGAACAATAATGGCATTATACAATAGAAACATTGCTTTATCATTGAATAACTCTCTAACTTTGTACATTACTGCAATCGATTTAGCTATTTTAGTTCTTAAGTTTTTTACGTGAGATCTCCATGTTAGTTTTTCATCAATGATGACACCCAGAAATTTCACCTCATTGACTCTATTAATTTCAATTCCATCGACTCTAAATGGAGTATCAAGCACTTTCTTGTTATTACTAAAAATCATATAATTTGTTTTATCAACATTTAAAGATAATTTGTTTAGTTGAAACCAATTTTGTATTTTCACAAATTCTGTTTGTGCCATCTTCAGCATTTGCACAACATTTTCACCCACACAAAGTAAAGTAGTATCATCTGCAAACAAAATACATTTAAAAAATCCAGTCACATTTACCAGGTCATTCACATATAAAATAAATAGCTTAGGTCCAAGTATAGAGCCTTGAGGCACTCCACATGTAATATTACAGAATTCAGATTTTACATCATTTATTTGAACAAATTGTTTCCTTTTTTCTAGATAACTAGATACCCACTGCAATGCATGCCCTCTAATACCATATTTATTTAGTTTTTTGAAAAGAATATTGTGATCAATAGTATCAAATGCTTTCTTTAGATCAACAAAAATACTAATACAATATTTTTTTTGATCCACAGCAGTCGTTATCTGTTCCATTAAATCCATGAGTGCCATTGACGTAGAATTTTTAGGTCTAAACCCATATTGACTATTACTTAATATATTTTGCTTATTGATAAATTCATCTAATCTAGTGACAAATAATTTCTCTAAAATCTTCGAAAACTGTGGCAACAACGATATTGGCCTGTAATTATTAAACACACGTTTCTCTCCACTCTTATATAATGGTATTACCTTGGCTATTTTCATGTTATTAGGAAATACCCCTGTTGAAAATGATAAATTGCATATATATGTAAATGGCTCAATAACATAACTCCTAATATTCTTTACCAGCATCATATCCATGTCCATCCAGTCTTTTGATTTTTTATCTGCAAGATGTTTTACGATAGTCATAATTTCTTCTTTATCAGTTCCCCCAAGAAAAAAACTGTTTGTGTGATCTGTAACCGTATGGTTTACATTTTTATCTATATTTGGGATTTTTGCTGCCAGACTTGGGCCAATATTCACAAAATGTTCATTGAATCCATTTGCGATTTCATTTTGGTCATAAATGTCTTTGTCATCTTTTACAAAATATTGTGGAATGCTCGATTTTGTTTTATGATTATTCAGAACACTGTTCATTATTTGCCATGTTGCCCTCATATTACCATTACTTTGGTCTAATAATTCACTGTAATATTTCTTTTTATGCTTTCTTATAATCCCTACCAATTTATTTTTATAATTTTTATATCTCTGTTCTGCTTCGTTTGTTCTTAATTTCAGAAAGTTTGAGTATAAGTAGTTCTTTTTTTTACAAACATTTCTTAACCCTTTGGTCATCCACGGTTTGTCATCAACACGTTTCTTTGTGTAATTTTCTTGTACACAATTTTTTTCATACAAAGCTCCTAAAATATTCATAAATACATCATATGCTTTGTTTACATCAACATATACATCCTTCCAATTTTGTTTTGTTAAATCTTCTTTTAGTTTATCTAGAGCTTTCTTTGATGTGTTTATTATTTTTTTCATAATTTTATCTACTTTCACATCATATTGATCTTTTTTATAGATAGTGAAGACTGGTAGGTGGTCACTGACATCCGTGATCAAAATGCCACCCATAAGTTCTTTATTAGTTATATTTGTAAAAATGTTGTCAATTATTGAAGCACTATGGGTAGTAATTCTTGTGGGTTTTGAAATCAATGGATAAAGATTTAAACTGTGCATTGAGTTTATAAATGTTCCGATATTATTTGAGTCTGTTTTATTTCCCAAGTCTATATTAAAATCTCCACACAAAAAAACAGATTTATTAGAACTTTTTTCCAATATTGTCATGATGTGATTGGTGAATGATTCAATATTTGAATCAGGTGATCGATATACGCAACTTATCATTATATTTTTGGAAGTCTCGTTTAATATTTCAACTGTAATCATTTCCATAATGTTATCCACAGCTACTGACAATTTATTGATCATTTTACATTTAATTTCCTTATTCACAAGTAGAGCTACAACTCCACCTCGTTTATTGTTTCTGTTCACATGATAAAGTTCATACCCTTCAATATTAATACTTTTTATATTTTCCTCATTTAGCCATGTTTCTGAGACTGCTATTATACTGAAAGTTCTGTTTAACTGATTTAAATAATCTGTTATTTTAGATAAATTTGTGTTTATACTTCTACTATTAATATGAATAATGGAGAAGTCATCTTTAGACATTTTAATTGCATTGAATTTTTCTTCATTGTAATACTCACACTCTTTAATTTCAGGAAAAAAGTTTTTATCAATCACATCATCTATATTGTAAATTTTAAATTCTGAGCCTTCGTATGTTGTCATATTTCAATGTATGTGTCCATTTGTCATTTACCATTTTTAGCTTATCTGTTTACCTTGTTTAGTTTGTCCGTTTACCTTGTTTGTTTGTCCGTTTACCTTGTTTAGTTTGTCCGTTTACCTTGTTTGTTTGTCCATTTCTGGACTCATTTAAATCTTTCCAGCTCCTTGAGTTCTTTTATTATTTTAGCATGAGACCCTTCCTGTTCTTTGATCCAAATGTTTCCGTTTCTGGTCCAAGTTGATGATAGTTTTTTTTTGTTTTTTTTAACAGCCTTGCTTCACGTGCAATATCTGCATTTTTTTTTTGTTAAGTGTTCATTTATGTAGACGTTTGTTCCTTTCAGTTTTTTTGCTTGTATTATTACTTTGTTTCTTGATTTCCTGTTTGTGAACTTGATCACTACAGTCGGTTTGTGTTTGTTTAATTTATTGGGCAATGTGTGACAAACTGAAATGTCCTTTTGTTCGATTTTAATGTCCTTGTCCTGTAAGAAAGTAACTACTTGCTGTTCCAGAGTTAGTTGTTGCTCCTGTGGTGAATCTTCAGTGATGCTTCCATTTTTAGTAGCATCTGCATAGGATCGGTGTTTGATTTCCAATCCGTTAATCAGGGCAGCATGGTGGCTCGAGCTGTTGCAGCTCAGCGAGAAGGTTGTCGGTTCAAATCCTGGCCCAGGACCTTTCTGGATGGAGTTTGCGTGTGCTCTATGTGCTTGAACTTGAGTCCATATCCATACGCTATGAGCGCTCGATTGCTTC